TGAGATGCCGCACTTCTGTGTCCCTGTCTGGGCAGTAAAAATCAAGTATTTCAGGCACCAAGTGGTCTTCTCTCCCTCTACATGCTAAACGGCTGATCAGAGTTCTCACTTGTTCTGGACTAGTCTCTTGCTAACTTAAAAGGTTAGCAAGAGCATTAATTTTAGGGTAGGGAGGAAGGAAACGAAATATTCATATGACAGCATGAAGAAAAGTTGGAATAAAACTTCTTCTAAATATGAGTTCATCTCTCCATACTGAAGAGCAGACAAAAATCTAGAGAGTTAAAAGAAAACAAACCAAAAAATATTTTCCTGATCACGGATCACAGGGATCTTAAAAAATGAATGACTTAAAGTTTTTCGTGTATAGTGTATTACTTAATTTCCACATAATGTTTCAGCCTTAATTCTTGTGTACTGACATTTAAAATTATCTCTCTTGTTCAATAACTGTAAAAATTAGTTCCAATTATTAGATATACATAGGTATTATACCATTAATATAATAGACATTATAAATACTGAAAGGAGATCAGACTCACTTCTATATTCTTGATCAGGTTATTATTCAACCAGAGTACATTCAGTTTTGTTAGGGATTCCAGATTTTCAATGTGGGAAATTTCATTGCAATAAAGGTAAAGCTTTTCCAAATGTACACATTTTTGTAGCCCATCTATTTTCTGCAATAGAAGGAGAAGTTATTAATTTGTAGCACCAAACAACAGAACTTCACTCCTTTTGTCTATATGGCATTAACTTGCATAGAAAATAGTAAGGTAACTCCAAATAATTTGAGACCATACCCGCTGGGCAGAATGCTACTGATTTAGAAACCTTTTCAAATAAGTCCTCAAAGAAAAAGTTATAGAAGCTACAATGCTTCCTGATAAATTATGTGTTTTAAGTACAGTATTGTTTCCATTTAAATATCTTCATCGTAATCATCTTCCTGAAAAAGGTTTCAGGGCAATTGCTGTAGTTTTTAAAAAACATTCTTTCTCTAATAAAAGACATTAAAATCCCCCACTATAGATTCCGAAATACAAAAACTGTAATGTATAACTGAGGTAATTTGATCCATGCTTATAATGAGATCTCTGGATATTTCAGTAAAGAAGGGCCAAATCCTGACTCCCTTAAATATCACCTTCTTCTCTGAACAGATGAAGAACTGCTTGTGAAGGAATATGATAATCTTTGTAAGGGGATAAAATTGTCTAAAGCTGACTAGGAATTGTTAACTTATTATTAATTAACTATAGGCAACGAGAAATAGTTAACTTACCACTAAACAGCATTCAGCAATCCACAGCTCTCTCAGTAACAGGCAGTGCTCCAGGTCTGAAATCTCTTGAATCCTTTGCCCAAGAAGAGTGAGTTTAGTCAAATTCCGGAAATATTTCATTCCTACCATTTTGGGATAACCTGAGAAAAACATCTCCAGTGCTGTTATTTTCAGTCCCTCTTGATCAACTTTCTCGTAAGATAATCCATTACATGCACACTGGAAATGAAAGGCAATTCTTGTTCATTTTACGTCCATATTGTAAAATACACATTATGAAGCAGAATGTCTAAGAGCCATTACAGTCAATTCCTTAAAATCAACCGTGGCTTTTAAAAATTGCTCTGCTCCCAGACATATTTGCAATTTTGGCCATATTCAGTAAATGATGGTTAAATAGTTTACTTCTGCTCACAAAAAAAAAAAAGAATTATTGCACAAGTAAACACACCTTCAATTTAAAACAAATTCATTTGTATGTTAACATTAATGAAAACTAAAACCACCACAAATGTATAACTTTCTCAGTAAACTAGTATATGTTCATACACATGTACATATGAATGGAGATAGATGGTGTTTTCCATCAGTCTTGTAGCTTTTCACTTCTGAAGAGATTCTATTAAGTCAATATAATAAAATAACTGAATTGCATGATAGATTTGTGTTGAAATGAGGCCCGAAAAAGCAAATACATATGTAGAGAATTATCAGTGGACACCTAAATTTAGATGACTTACTCTGGAGTTGGACAGCATTTCAAAACTCTAACCTAGGCATCCTAGGCAAAATTTTTATTGCCTTAGTTAGCCACCCCATCCTGCTCACAACTGTCTAATGCAAATCAATGACTGAATCAAAACTACACGATTTACTTTGATCAAATTTATAATAAAAGAAGAAAATATATTTTGGTCCTATATATAAATATTCTGCAAGATACACCACTAAAAAAGGAGACAAAGGTGGAAAGGTACCTTAAAAATTGTCCTGGAGTAACTCCTAGTGTGTTTATATAATTCTGAAACCTTTAGACCAGCATGAACTACTATTAATGCATGCCCTACACTACAGACAAAATATTCCAAAATAACTAATGTTCTAGCAAAGACATACTGAAATTTATAGAATTATTAAAAAATAAAGAAAATTAAAAACATACAAATGAAAATCTTACCAGCTCCTTAATTATTTCCTCAAGGTTTTGATTTTGTTTATCGCTTTGCATCATCTCTTGTGTTCTCTGCAGTGATTACTCATTTCTTAGGATTTTCTTATAAAAAGGACAGTATAATTATCAGCTGTGAATCCACCCACCTATGTCACACAATTTTCAAGCAGTTGGAAAGGAAGAGCTAGAGTCCTAACAGACTTTGTTCCAAATTCTGAATTTCTCCTTGAAATTGGTGAAATTGAAGATATCTGGAATATTTCAATGCTTGTTGTTTTAATTAATATTTTTAGATTCAGACAGTCTAGAAAATAGGGATAAGGTATTTGCACCACACCACTGAAAGGAAAGATGAATCGAACCCACTTACACTGATATTGGGGTAAGTTGAATTTGCGCAGAGGTGCAGCATAAAGGAACAAACCATTCATAATTCGCCCAAAACAACCCTATTTGCATGTAGGAAAATATATTGAAATGATCTGTAATTATTTGTGTAACACTTTTAAAGCAATCACAGAGCTGCTATAACTAATCTTTAGCATTATCAACCTTTTTGTACGACTGAGGCAGCTTCTTTCTCCCCGTGAGGGCATTTACAGGTCACACGAAGCACTGTATGCGCAAACTAAACCCCAAAGATCACTTTAGTCACTCTTAATGCACCACCACATCGCTGCTGCCGTTGAATTCCTGCCACCGTATTACATGAGATACAGCCCCCTCAGCCAGTAATTTAGGGAAGGAAAAAAAAAGAATATTTTATCGGGTTACAGCGGCTGAGGGAACGACATGAGACTGGAAGCAGCTACAAGGAAACACGGAGCCCTCAAGGAACCGCGTACCTGGCACCCGGGCCCGCACGCCCCCGCCGCGC